TTTTAAAAGAATGAACTAAATGAGGCTCAGAGATGGAATTCATCTTTCTGGGGTCAACCAGAAAGCCAGAGAGGAGCCCAAGGACCCTAACCGGAGCACTTTCTCTGGGTTCCCAGGCACAGAGCAGTTCTGGAGGCCGCCCCTCCCAGTGAGGAGGCAGGCACTGGATGGGAAGGGGTTCAGGAGCTCCAGACACAGGCTCTGGGCTGCTTGGGCACTAAGCTGCTTCTGCTAATCCCCAGCTTGGATCCCAGTTTGCTTCCCTTGCCTGGAATTAGGTGCCTGGAGCAGAGGAGAGCGCAGGAGGGGCAGGAATGCTGGGTGGCAGCCCAGCAGGGATTGGGGTTCAGGGTGCAGTGCTGGAGGGCAGAGAGGCAGCTGAGCTCAGTTCTGCTCCCCCCCCCATTGCTCTCAGCCCTTGACAAGTCCACCCATGTTAGCTGCCCTCGGAAGCCCATCCTGGGCCCTGCACCCCCATTTTGTGGAGGACAAAACTGATTTTCGGGGAGAGTCTCTGAGGCACCCAAGGCTGGGAGGGGCCGTGTGGGGAGGCACCAATCTGAGGCACCTCAGGGACCCATGTAGCCTTAGAGCCCCCAGACCATAGAGTCTGCTGCCTTCCTGCTTACAAGTCCTCCTCTCCACCCTCTTCCTCCCTCTAGCATTTTATAGTGGCTGGGCTGGTATAACACATATTAGGAAATGGGAAGAAAATGTCCAAATGAGAAGGGGAACAGGAAGGGGGGAGGGATAGGAAAGAAGGGATCAGAAAAAGAGAATAGAAGGAAAAATGGAAACAAAGCTTTTGTAAATAAGGAGGGGAAGAGGGGTCGAAGGGGGGGGGAATGGGAAAAAAAGAAGCAAGAGATACCATGTACGGGTACAAATTCCCAGGGATGAATGTGATCATTAGGTATGTTTAAAATGTACCAATAAAGGTTTTTCTTCAAAAAAAATAGCTGGGCCGTACCTCACTGCTGTGCAGTTCAGGCCGGCCTTGAACTTGAGGTGATCCTCCTATCCCTACCTGTCCAGTGCTGGGATCACAGGTGTGTGCCACCACCATGCCCAGCCCTTTTTCATTTTTTATTTTGAGATAAGGTCTCACTAGTGGCTAAATTGCCCAGGCTGGGGTTAAATGTGGGATCTTCCTGCTTCAGCCTCCCAGAGCGCTGGGATTAACGGCACCGGAGGGGTTGTTCTCTTTGAGGGTGGCGGGTGAGACGTCACACCCAGAGCCCCCTCTCCACTGCTGTCCGCTCAGGTTTCAGACAACCACTAGGCACCTGGAGGCCCGAGAGGCCGGCAGCTGCAGGTGTCATTACCAGGCCCATTTTATAGATGGGGAAATTGAGGTCACAGATGGCCCCAGGCTCCAGGAGCAGCTGTGTGTGGGCAGCGTTTCCGGCCATTATCCCATCTGATGGCAGCAGGCCCAGCTCTGGCAGGCTGGCGGGGAGGCCATATTAGCCTGGTTGATAGATGAGACCTCAGAGGGAGAATATGGTAGCCCAGGGTCACTCGGGCTTAGCTGGTGTGGCCAGACCTGCCAGGTTGTGGCCCCCCGCGCAGGCTCCAGCTCTGGCCCTGGAACTCAGTCCAGAAGTGTGCTGACTGCAGACACAGCCAAGTCAGACACGTCCAGCAGGGCATCCTCACTCTGGCCCCAGGGCATTTGCACATGCTCAGCAAGCTCTCACCATTGAGCCACACAACCCTCTCCCCCATACTGGGAATGGAATCCAGGGCCTCCACACTAGGAATGAGCTCCATTCCCAGCCCTTTTTATTTATTTATTTAGGTTTTTTGAGCCAGAGTCTGACTATGTAGTTCCAGCTGATCTTGAACTCACTATGTAGCCCAGACTGGCCTTGAAACTGCAGAGATCCTCCTGCCTCAGCCTCCCAGTGTTTTATTTTGAAACAAGGTCTCACTAAATCTCTTAGTTACCCAGTCTTCTGCCTTAGCCTGCCGGAGTGCTGAGATGACAAGGGTGCGCCTCCACATCCAGCCTTAATGCTGTTTTTCAAGAATCAACACAGGTGCAGAAAATCTACAAGTGATTGATGTCACTGAACATTTGCAGCCAGTTTGTTTGAGCCTCGGGCTCCAATCCTCCCTCCTCCTTGTTCCAGTGGGGGCAAAGCCTCTCCTCCTCCACTGCCACCAGAGGGCTTTGTCCTGGAGGCCAGCCCAGGTCTCCTTTCCTCCTCTGCCAGTTGTGGCCACACCAGAAATGCCAGGCCCAGGGCTTGCAGGGGCTCTTTGCCTCGGATTCCCCTGTGGGAAGGCACACAACTGCTCCAGGGTCTGTCAGCGTCCCCTCTAAGGGTCGGCTCGGCTCACCAATCCACTCTGGCCACCTCTGACCATGTTCATCACTGAAAACCCAGGGCCTGGGGTTGTGTTGGCAGAGACTGGAGCCTGTCGGGGCTGTGGCATAGGCCTGTCATCCCAGCTACTCCAGAGGCTGAGGCAGGAGGATGGCAATCAAGCCCTGCCTGGGCAACTTTGCAAAATGGAATTTAGAAAAGGGGTTGAGGGTGTAGTGCAATGATGAGTGCTTTTGGTACCCTCACAAGCAGATCTGGGGTGGGGCTGGGCTTTGGCCCCAGGAAGGTGGGAGCCAGAGAGGGCTGAGGGCAGACGGGGAGGACCTGACGTGGTGCTTACGGCACCCTCTGCTGCTTTGGGGAGAACAGGTTGCGGGCTGTGGCCAGGGGACCAGGTGGCAGCCACTGGCCTGGATTTTGGGAACCCACAGGCCCTTTTCTCATGTGCATCAGCACCCTAGGAAGGCACTACCACCCCCATTTGATGGAAGAGGAGATCGAGGCTCAGAGGGAAAGGGCTTTGGCCAAATCCCAAGATGTAGGTGGCACTTTACATTTCTCCCCACTCACAGCCCTCCATGGCTCCACATTGCTCTCAAAATGACAAAATCCTCCCTGCAGCCCACAGGGCGCTGTACAACCTGTCTGTCCCCTTGCCAGCTCCCCTCCTCCTTCTCTTCCCCTTGTTCCCTCTGCTCCAGCCACACTGACTTCTCATTGCTCCAAGCTACCCCAGGGCCTTTGCACAATCAGGCCCTCTATGTTCTTCGATCTTCCTCTGAAATTTCTTTTCCTTTGTTCACTTTGTTCAGCTTAATGTCCTGTGTCTAGCATGCAGCAGGAACTCAATAAATGTTTAACGAGTGAGTTAATGAACTTTTAAGTATAACTCTGGGTCTGACACAGTAATAGTCCAAGGGGATTATGGGAGCAGTGAGTTTCCCCAATCCAACCCTTAGGGCTGGGCATCAGGGAGAGCTGCAGAACCCCATCTGTGACATTTATAATCATCAGTTTTGAGACCAAAGGAACCCATCCATCTTACCATTGGAGCCAATGGGCTTTGCCTCTGGCTGAGACCTGACTCATTAGGACATTCTATTGGCCAGGACACATCCAGTCCTCTTCTGATAGGCCAGGCAAGAGGGCCCTGTCTCTGATTGGCCTTTCCAGCTGGACTGCAAGGCACTATCTCTGATTGGCCCTTCTGCTCACAAGGTGCAGTCTTGATTGGCCTTTCCTTCCAGGCTGCAAGGCAACATCTCTGATAGGTCCTTTCCTCTAGGCGCACAGCACCATTGGCCCTTCCTTCCTAAACTGCAAGGAGGTGTCTCTGGCCCTTCCTTCCAGGTGCCTGCCCTGGGATTCCGTCCTCTGTCCTGGTGCCCAGTTCCAAGCTGCTCTGGTGAGTTTCCTGGTGGTGCCCTCGGGGCCCAGACATGCTGCCCAGCCATTGTGGAACCAGGGCTCACCCTAGCCCTTCTGCCAAGTTCCAGAAGCCCTGGCATGACAGGGGTGCGGCCTGCCCACCCGTGCCCAGGTGTGCTCAGTACCTGCCCTGTGTTGGCTCTGCCTCCCTGTGCTGTGTGACCTGGGTGGGTCCCTGCCCCTCTCTGAACTTTAATTCTATCTTGTTCTAAACTGGAACTTGGAACATTAACGAGGCTATAGGGATGTTTTTCTCCTCCCAGGGACAGGTGGCCATGTCTGGGAACATTTTTGGCTGTCACTATTGAGGGGTGGGGGCTGCTGCTGATGTCTGATGTGAGGATCAGGAATGTGTGCACAATTGTTGTTATTCACTCAACAAACACTTTTTAAGTCATTCAACAAACATTGACCAACCCGCTATAGAGGGCCAAGCCCTTATAGATAGTCCTTGTGGGTCCTGATAGCTTTGGCACACGGGGACAATGACAAGCTTATTGTACACCTGCTGTGTTCAGGAACTGCCAAATGAGTCTGATCTGGTAAATCTCAATGCAGCCCATTTTACAGATGTGCAAACCGAGGCTCAAAGTCACAAGTGTATCCTGAGGCCACCTGGTTCTGCTCCTGGCAAGAGTGGAGGGATTTCCTCTGCAAAGAAGGAAATGTATCCAGTTTCTCTCCCTCCCCGAACTCATTTCCTGTCCTTGACAGTGGTTTTTGTTGTTCTTTTTTTTGAGACGGGGGCTATGTAACCCAGCCTGGCCTCAAACTCATGGCGATCCTCCTGCCTCAGCCTCCGGAATGCTGGCATTACAGGCCTCTGCCACCACAGCCAGCTGTGTCCTTGAAAGTGAAACAGAGCAAAAAGCAAGAGGATGAGACCCTTTTGGGCAAGCCAGGGAGACTGAGGCTGGTGGAGCCACAGCTGCTGAGCCCTTAGACGCCCTGCAGGTGTGGAAAGCACTGTGTCCGGGCGTCCAGCTGAGCCAGGTTGGAGTCCTGGCTTCGCTGAATGCTTGCTGAGTGACTCTGGGGGAAGGTTTGGAACTGGACCCAGCTTGGCACATCTGGGCTGGCAAAGCCACGGAGCACACAGAGTCACTTCCAAGCCTGTGCAGGCACTGCCAGCCAAGGCCTCTGCCTGGCAGGCCTGGTGCGGGCACCCTGGGTGTGCACACGGGTGCCATCTGGAGCTGGGAGCTGCCCGCACATGCCAGGTCCCCATGCCTGCCTGGCACATCTCTCTGCATGTCTCCTTTGTGTGGAGAAACTGAGGCACAGGGGCCTCACAGTGGGGGCCCAGGATGATTTGGGGTGTGCAGAAACTGCCTGTGCTCCTCCATAGAATATTTCTCAGGCTGAGCAGCTCCCAGAGTGCTGTGAGGTCTCAAATGAATTGCTTCTCTTCTGGGCCTCAGTTTCCCCATTTATAAAATTGGTACTTTTTTTCCGCAGTGCTGGAGATGGATGGTGGGGCCTTTACACTGAGCTCAGCCTCCAGCCCTTTTTTTTTTTTTTTTGAGACAGGGTCTCGCTAAGTCACTTAGTTGCCAAGAATGAGCTTAAGGAGCAACCAGGGGCCAACCTTCCAGCTGAAAGGAACAAGCGGGCCAGGGCCTGGGCAACAGAGACCAGAGATGGCTGGACGACAGCCCAGGGCACACAGCGCGGTGGCCCAGGGGTCACATCCCTCTGCCATGCCAGGCAGGGAGGCGGTGGGGAGCAGGCAGCTGATGCCAGGGTGGGTGGTAATGACAGGAAGTCGGTTACTTGCAGTCGTTGGCACTGTGATTTCCGGCACTGCTGTGGGTTCTGTAAAAAGGGGAGTGGCCAGGGACCCCGACATCACCGCCCACCCCGAGCGTCTCACACAGAAGGGAGACTGAGGCTGGGGAGGGAGGGGCTGGCTCTGAATTCGGGCCTCCTGGAGGCTCTGTTGAACCCTCCAAAGGTCACCAGTGGAGACGCTGCGAGGGAGTGAGGATGGGTCTGGGGCAGTGTGGCCCGAGGGGACACTGCAGGCTGAACGGCCGAAGTCTGGACAACTGCAGTCACCACGTGGCCCATGCACACCATAGCGTGGGTGCTGACTGCATTGAGACCCACACCAGCAAATCTAATGAGTCGCAGCCCTCTGTGTGGGGTGCCGCACCCCCGTGTGATCCCTCCATAGGGCCCCAGCCAACGCAAAGGTAGGGGGCCCTGTCCGCTGTTTTTCCTTTTCCAATTGTGTGTGTGAGACAGAGGAAGAAACCCGGAGCCTTCACACTGAGCTCTGACCCTAGTCCTTTTTATTTTTCATTTTGAGACAGGGTCTTGGTAAATTGCCCCGACTGGGCCCCAGCTTGTGAGCTTCCTGCTTCAGCCTCCTGGAGTGCTGGACTGACAGGTGTGCCCCACCGACCAGGCTTCCCTGTCTGCTTTGTTTACTGCTGGATCCCCAGCGCCTAGAACAGATCCCCGAGGTCCTAGTACGCAGATAGTCTGAGAAGGAACAGCAGAGCCAGGAGCAATCGAGTGATCGCTCAGACCTGGCTCTGCACGGTGGACATTTTCTGCACAACTTTGGGGAGGAGGGAGACAGTTTCATGGCTCCCGTTTCTCAGAGGGGGAAACTGAGGCACAGAGTCACCTTGATAGAAAGCCACAGAGCTGAGATTGGAACGTGGCACCCCCTGCTGTCAGAGGCTCCTTGCTGGGTTGCTGATCAGTTTCTCCCAGACGTGGGCGTCTCTGAGCCCAGTACCTGAGGACAGGAGCAGGGCAGATGTGGACACTGATCTTCTCCCCACGCCCCCAACAGATCCTCTAGGAGCCTGGCCTGGTCACAGGCTGGTGGCTGTGGTGCCCTTACATGGCGCACACAGCTTGGCCTCTGGTTTTTATCATGCAGGCTGGGGACCAGGTCTGAGCCCACCTGGGAGGATGGGGCTCTGGCCACACAGCCGCCAGCTGCTTCTTCCCACAGCCATGGCTCAGCTCCAGGGTGCAGGGGCAAGGTCTTCTCCCTCCACGCTTAGATCTTCTGTGGCTCCCCTCTCCCTTTCAAATAGAATCCACTTTCTTCCCTGCATCCCACAGCACCTCAAACAACCCGCCTGTCCCATGTGCTAGCTACCCCAGAGCCCTTGCACGGCTGTGCTCTCTGCCAGAAACTGTTGCCTGGTACCTTTAAGGCCAGTTTCTTCTCATCTTTCAGACGCCTCTTCTGTGAGGTTTTCCTTCCCTTCTCGCTGCCCACCTGCCATCTCCTACCTTCTGGTTTGAGATTCTCAGCCTTCATCCTTGTCTGAAGTAATTACATTGTTTCATATAACTTTGTACAACTGTCCTGCCATTGTGTTCCCAGGCCTGGGAACAGGGCTCAGCACCTAGTCAGAACTTGATAAACATCTAGACGAAAGGTCTCAGAAAACTGAGGGCCAGGGATCCAGTCTGGCCCACGACCTGTTTTTAAAAATAAAGTTTTATTGGCACACAACCATGCCCACTCATTTGCATGTTATCCAGGGTGTTGTTTGCCTGGTGACAGCAGAGATAAATGGTCTCAAGGGAGATTGTCTGTCCCTCCAAGCCCAAAATATTTATCATCTCCCCTTGTGGAAGGAGTCTGGTGACTCTTGCTTTAGACAAAAGGAGAGAAAATCCAAAGCAATGCTCATCAAGAGATGAATGGACAAAGAAATCATGGTATTCATGCACAATGAAGTGCTACTCTGCCATAAAGAAGGAGAACTTTGAGTCATTTGTAGAAAAATGGATGCACCCTGTAGCCATAATGTTAAGTAAAATAAATCAGACACCGAAGATTAAATATCATGTGGGTTCTCTTAATGAGAAAGCAAAAATAGAAATAATTTGAAGAGCAAAATAAAAGATAGATGATAGGAAACAGGGAGGTAGACTTTATGGAGATGGGAAGGGAATCTGGGGTTGGGAGAGAGAGGAGAGTGGGGAGGGGAAGTAAAAAGGATTCAGATGGGATATGTATCAATTCCTCACAATGAATTTATTATCTATCACAAACATATACTAATAAAAATTTTTTTTAAGTTTAACTCCAGCTAGGTGTGGTGGTGCATGCCTATAATCCCAGCACTCAGGAAGATGATGCAGGAGGATCATCATGTGTTCAAGGCCAGCCTGGACTACATAGTGAGTTAATCTGGTGGAACATTATACAACAATGAAAAATATCATCCATATTCATAGTAAGGCATATAGGTTGATGAACTGTGTCCCTCATAAATTCATATGTTCAAGTCCTAATCCCCTCAGGTAACCTCAGTATGTGAACTTATTTGGAGACAGGTAATCATGTTAAAATGACATCACCTAGGAAGGGCCCTGACCAGTAGGAATGGTTTCCTGTTTTAAGGGACGATATCTGGATGTGCACAAAGGCAGGATTGTGAACACGGAGATGGCATCTATCAGCCAAGAAGTAGGGCCTGGGCAGATCCCCTGGCTCCACTGGCAGAAGGAACCAGCTACCCACTGTTTGGTTTGTTCATTTATTTATTTTTTTGGTACCAGGGATCGAACTCAGGACCTTGCACTTGTGAGGCAGGCAGTGGAACCACTGAGCTAAATCCCCGGCCCCCCACTGATTGCTTTGGACTGCCACCATCTGGGACGGTGAGAAAATGAAAGCTGAGCATGGTGGTCCACGTCTGTCATCCCAGCACTCAGGAGACTGAGGTAGGAGAATCAACATAAGTTCAAGGCCAGCCTGGGCTACATAGCGAGACCCTGTCTCAGACAATCAGCCAAACAAATAAATCCTCCAAAATATGAAGCCCTTCTGGTCCCAGGCATTTTGAGCTATGACAGTGGCCCTGGAAATGAACCCACTCTCGTTCAGCCTCAGCCCTGCTGCAAATGCACAGGCTGCTGGCTGATTTTTTTTCTTCTGTGGTGCTGGTGATGGAAAAAAAAATCTTTGAGACAGTGTCTCACTAAGTTACTCAAACTGAACTCCACCTTGAGATCCTCTTGCCTCAGCTTCGTAATGAGCTGGGATGACAGCACGCTGACAGATTTTGTATGTCCATTCGGTGAGACCACGGTGCCCAGTTGTTTAATGAGACAGGATTCCCCATGTCGCTGTGAACGTATTTTATACACACGATTAAGAGCAATAGCTAAGTGAAGCTGACCCAAGAGGAAGGGCTGGGCCTCACCAAATGGGCTGGAAGCCTTCAGAACAAAAGCTGAGAATTCCCCAAGAAGTTCTGCCTTGTGACTGGAGCATAGAAGCTCTTGCTTATATTTCTAACTTGTTTGTCAAGTTCCCACATTGCCTGAATCAATTCCTTAAACTCTTTCTCTCCCTCTCACAAACACGTGTGCACACCTCATTAGTTCTGTTTGGGTATGCTGATACAGACTGTCACTGTTTTTTTTTGTTGTTTTTTTTGTACCAGGGATCGAACTTGGGACCTTGTGCTTGTGAGGCAGGTGGCAGGACCACTGAGCTAAATCCCCAGCCCTGTCACTCATTTTTTTTATAAATAAAGTTTTATTGGTACACAGCCAATCTCACTCCGTATCACCCAAGGCAGCCTCCTCAGAGTGTGGAGTGGTTGCCATGGAAACTGTGTGCCCCACATCTATCTGTCCCTTTTAAAGAAAATGTTTTCTGAGCCCCAGTCTACAAAAATACACATCACACCCAGCCTGGGCCACATAGCGATTTAGGGAGACCCTGTCTCAAAAAATAAAAAGGACTCACTCGAGAAGCCAAGGTAGGAAGGAAGATTGACAAGAGTTAGAGGCCAGCCTGGGCTACATAGTGAGTCCAGTGACAACCAGACCTGCGTATTAGGCCCCATCACAAAGGAACGAAGGAACAGAAGGGCTGGGGACGCAGCTCAGCGCCAAGGCCCTGGGTTCAATTCCCAGTACTGCAAACAAGCAGGCAGGCACCTACATACAAATAAATAAATACGTAGTAAGACTCAAATATAAAAGACACACACTGGGTACTTGAGACATATACCCACGGAAGGAAGGTAATGGGGTAAAAACAGACAAATACATGGGAAAATAAAAGAAAAAGGGAGGAACACGGGAGAGCCAATCTTTAGTAAGGTGGAAAAGTGAAGGCGGAGTCGCGGTCCTGTGCTGCCCTCTAGCGGGACCTACAGGGCATCTCAGCCTTTACCATGGGATGACTCCCCCCACACCCCACCCAGTACTGGGGATGAAACCTAAACCCTTGACACTGAGCTCCATCCTCAGCCCTTTTTTATTTTCTATTTTCAAACAAGGTCTCGCTAAGTTTCCCAAACTGGACTCGAACTTGCGACTCTCCTGCTTCAGCCTCCTACAGTGCTAGGATGACGGGTGTGGGCCACCATGCTGAGCCCTCACTGTGTACCTGCACACAGATCTGCCACTTACAGAAATTAATGCCTTTCTGATGCCTACTTTGATATCCGTGGTATTTTCCTGCGGCAAAGCAGGGCACACTGAGTATTCCACACCTCCGCATATAGATGCCAAGGGTGCAGTCTGAGTGGGAAGGTGTATTACCAGGGTATTTGCAATTGAGATTTTTGAAGCTGCTATGAAATTACCCCTAAGAATGCTGGACTAATGTGTGTTTTCATAAACGGTATGTGAAGGAGCTGGAGTCCCGGTTAGGACTGTGCTTCTGACCATTCTTTCCCGTGGGAGCCCCTCCCAGGCGCTGCAGGTTGCTGAGTGGCATCCCGGCCTCGTCGACTCCAGGGTAGTCCCCCAGGGTGACAACCACAGACACGGCCAGCAGCCTCTGGGGGTCTAAATCACTCCTAACTGAGAACAAAGCTCTGTGCACTCTAGAGTATAAAGGCAATAAAAATATGGCGAATATTTAAATTTAAACGTATACTATACTAAAAGCCACATTGCCACCAATCCCCTCAAAATCCTGTTCCCACTTCAGACACACCTGTCCCATGGTTCTGGCCACTTTCTGCAGCAGCTCTGGAGTCCTCTTTCCTGAGTGTCTTCATGAGGTGTGATCAGAAATATGGTGACTGCTGCTGACTGCCATCTCACAGAAAGGCGGCTCCTAAAAACATAACACTGTGGTGCTGGGGATTTAGCTCAGTGGTTTCGCCGCCTGCTGCGCAAGCTCAAGGACCCGAGTTCGATCCCCGGTACCAAAAAACAAAACAAAACAAAATGCTGTGTCCTCATCCTTCTTAGTCATGGGGTCTGGTACAGTGTGACTTCTGGCTCTTTTCTAAAGTCAAAGTGACCATGAAAGGGAAACAGTTCGAATCCATTCAGGACATTGAGGCAGGCAGGACAGTGCAACTAAAGACACTCAGGAAAGAAGACTCCAGAGCTGCTGCAGAAAGGGGCAAGATGGGCTGGGGGAGACAACTCAGTGGCAGAGCATTTGCCTGGTGTACACAGGGCCCTGAGTTTGATCCCAGCAAAAGAGAGAGAGAGAGAGAAATGGTGAGATGAACCTTGGAAGCAAGGGAGTGGATTTTGAGAATCCACTTTAAAACTTTTTTAAAATTTAAACATTCACTGTAGATTTTTGTTTTTGTTGTGAGACAGCATCTCACTATACAGTTCAGGCTGGACTTGAGCTCACTATGTAGCCCAGGGTGGCCTTGAGTGTGTGACAATTCTCCTGCCTCAGCCTCCTGAGCCCAGGATGACAGGTGTGCACCACCACTCCGGCTCACCATAGGCTTTGATTACCCTTTGTAGAAGAAAATATTTTGCACCCTGGAATCTAAATCATAGATACCCCATTGTAGTTTTAATTTAAATTTCTTTTCCTTTGGATAAGGTTAGCAAACATCACTTCAGAGATTTTTTTAAAGCCATTTTTATCTCTTGTGTCTTTTCTGTGATGGTCTGCTCATATCCTCTGCATATTTTTTCAGTTGCTCTTTGCTTATTAATTTGGTTTTGTTTTGTTTTTTTGGTACCGGAGATCAAACTCGGGACCTTGTGCTTTCGAGGCAGGCGCCGGAACCACTGAGCTAAATCCCCAGCCCTTTTGCTTATTAATTTGTAAGCACTCTTTACATAGATGTCTAGAAAAAATCTTTTGCAAGTACATTACAAATATTTAATATTTGTGGGAGTTTTTTTAACTTTTGCCATGCAGAAGACTTTAATTTTTATGTAATGATACTTACTATGATTTTTGTTTGTTTTACCAGGGATCGAACTTGGGACCTTGTGCTTGCAAGGCAGGCGCCCGGAACCACTGAGCTAAATCCCCGGCCCAACTTACTATGTTTTTATGGCGAGTGGGCTTGATGCTTGCTTAGAAAGACTTCCTTATTCTGAAATTATAAGTATCTGCCATACAGTCTTTTCTTTTTCTCTTTTTTCTTTGTTTTTCAGTAATAGGGGCGAAACTCAGGGCCTCACACATGCTAGGCAAGAGCTCTACTACTGAGTCGTATCCCTAGTTCTTTTATTTTATTTTAATTTTTAATTTTGAAGTAGAGACTCTCTGGGCTTGCACTTGTAATCCTCCTGCCTCAGCCTTCCAAGTAGCTAGAAGTACATGTGTACAACCATGCCCGGGTCCCGTGTTTTCTTCTAGTAGTTTAATGTTTTGATCTTTGTTTGTATGTGGGTGTATAACTATATTTATATTTAAATCTTTCATCTATTTGTGATATGTATTAGTGAGAGATATATCACAGGGAAACAGCTTAAGTTTTTCTCAGATACCTACAAGATCATCTCATCTACACTTGAGACAGCTCCAATGGCCAAAGATGGAAAAATTAGGGCAAAAAATTAATATTATATATACAAATCCATACTGTTGACAATAATAGATTATGAAATAGGTAAGTAAATAGAGAATAGAAAATGCTTCATTAAAAAATAATTTCCAGGGCCGGGGATTTCATTCAGTGGTTCCACCTCCTGCCTCAAAAGCGGAAGGTCTTGGGCTAGGGATTTAGCTCAGTGGTTTCGTCGTGCTGCACAAGCGCAAGGACCCGAGTTTGATCCCCAGTACCAAAAAAAAAAAAAAAAAAAAAGCGGAAGGCCTTGAGTTCGATCCCTGGTACCAAAAAAAAAAATTTCGAAGCCGGGCATGGTGGCAACATGCCTGTGATCCCAGCACTCAGGAGGCTGAAGCAGGAGGATCACTGCAAGTTTGAAGCCAGCCTCGGCTACATAGTGAGGTCAGGGCCAGCCTGAACTACAAAGGGAGACCCTGCCTCAAAAAACAAAAAAAAAATTTTTTTTTCCAAAGCCAGGCATGGTGGTGCATACCTGTAGTTCCAGCAGTTGGGAGGCTGAGGCAGGAGGATCGCTGTGAGTTCAAGGCCAGCCTGGGCTACATAGGGAGACCTTGCCTCAAAAAAAAAAAAAAAAAGGGAAGGAAAGAAAAAATTCAAATAATCTGTGCAAATTCTCCCTCCTTCCAGAAGTAGGGTTTGAATTCTTTGCTCCAGGGTGGGCTACACTTAATAACTAGCTTCAGGAAGACAGACCAGAGGAAGGGCAAGATTTGAGCTCGGTGGCAGAGGATGCAGGAAGTCACCATCTCCACCAGGAGCCTAACGTCAACATCAAGGGGACCTGTGTGGCCTCAGTTTCCCATGGTATCTAGGAGTGGGGCATCTCTGTGTGCTCTCCAGTCCCATAAACCCGGTGAAATCATGAGAAAACATTAGTTTCACCCCCCGATTGGACGAAACTAACACCCCAAGCCCATCCTGGCCATGAGAAACCAAGACAGCGCTCTGGGAGGCTGAGGCAGGAAGGTAACAAGTTCAAGTCCAGCTTGGACAACTTAGCAAGACCCTGTTTCAGATTTAAAAATAAAATAAAATAAAGGCTGGGGATGGAGCTCAGTGCAAAGACCCTGGATTCAGTCCCCAGTACTGTTAATGATAGTAATAATAACAATAATAATGAATAATAACAGATGGAGAAGGAGTCACAGCCCAGAGGACCCCCAGTGGATATGAGCCCAGAGCCCACACAGGGTCCTCCACATGGTCCTGGACCACAGAAGGACACAAAGGGAAACCTGCACAACTCGATCCAAGTGTGACGCTGAGTTAATGGCGCTACACGGATTTCTCCATGGCATCTGGCTTTGCGTTAGTAAGTCCTAGTCCCTGTCCAGCAGCGCTCTCTGATCCTGTCCGTCCATCTCTCAGTGTGGAGATTCTGCTGTCCTCAGGAAAGAGGCTGATATCAGGAGAAGCTAGAGGACGAGTGACCAAGAATCCTGCTGCACCTTTGTCCCTTTCCCTGAAATCTCAAATCACTCCAAAGCAAAGTTGTTTTGTTTTCTTTAAAGCTGTCCCCACGGATTAGAAAAGACCAACATGTCATTGTCTATCATTTTCTTTCCTTTTTCTCCCTCTCCCCCACCTCCCTGGCCTGGGGATGGAACCCAGGGCCTTCCCACTGAGCTCCATCCCCAGCCCTTTTTATTTTTTATTTAGAGACAGGGCCTTGCTAAGTCACCAAGCTGCCCAGGCTGGGCTTGAACTTGGGATTCTCCTGCCTCAGCCTCTCAGTGTGCTGGGATGACAGTTATGCGCCACTGTGCCGGGCTTGGCTCCATGATTCCATAAACATTTATTTGGCACCTACTATGGGCTGTGGGCTAAGCTGCTGGGCTGCATCCAAGTGGGGGCAAAAAGATGACCACAGAATTACAGAGTATAATATGACATGCACTTGTTGAATTTAGGAGCAGAATAGAGCAGGGGATAGAGACAGAACAGAGGGGAAATGACTATATATAGTCAGTCAGGGGAGGCGTGGCCTTAATGCCATGTGAGCTGAGGACAGATGGATGACACAAAACCATTTGGGTGAAGGGGAGATGGAACAAAATCCCAGGAAGCCACGCAGCCCATGCAAAGGCCCTGGGGCAGCATGGAGTTCTAAGGTGTAGGAGCATCAAGGAGCCCTTGCAGCTGGAACAGAGGGAGTGAGGGGCAGAGAGGGAGCAGGGGAGGCAGGGAGGGGATGGCGGCCGTACAAATACGTTTGGTCTGCAGGGAGGATTTGAGGTTGGGCCCCAGGCAAGTGGGAGCCCTGGAGGGCTGAGGGCGGAGGGGGGAGGACCTGACTCAGTGCTCACGGTGCCCTCTGGTGGCAGCTGCGGGAGGACAGGCTGCGGGAGGACAGGCTGCGGGTGAATGTCGTGCTGCGTAGCTGGCTCATTGGGATGATTCCTTTGGTGCAGTAAATACCAGCTCGCCCTCCAGCTACTTCCGCTGCAGTCTAAGGAGCACAGGATGATTCGAAATCCTACTTTCTATGTGACAACCATGAGGCACAGAGAGGCCAAGCACCTCGTCCAGGTACACAGCTGGAGAGCAGCAAGGCAGCTCCTTCCTAAATGCTCCCATAGACATTGCAGATTCTCCAGGCAGAGGAGGTGATGGGAGTGGCTGGAGGACATGCCTAGTCTGGGGCGACTTCCTGGAGGTGGAGACATTGAAACTCAGAGCTAAAGGACCAACTGGAGGCACATAGCTGCCCTGGGGGAGAAAAGACCCACTGCGGAGTTGCATGGACAAAGGCAGTGGATGCGGCCTGGGAGCTGGTAGACGTCGTTTTCCCTGCCTGTCGCCTCCCTACACTCCCCACCTGACCCAGAGACCCCGCCCCACAGACTGGGTGGCTGTGCACTGACCCCGCCCTAGCCGCTACAGCTGGTAACAATCCCCACAAAGGGGTCATTAAGCCACCCAGCTGGGGTGGCCAATAGCAGCATAGGCACTATTTTAATTTTCCACTGATTTGTCTGCAGTGGGTCCCAGCACTGGGCCATGTGTGTGTCTGGGTGGGGGAGGGGGATATCAGGTCCTGGAGCTGGGAGTGGGGTGGGGGGCAAAGGACAGAAAGGGCTTGGGTGGGCGGAGGCCACTGGGAAGGTTTCTGGAGTCCATAAAGCTCTGCTGTCCCATCCTAGGGCTGCTCAGGGACATGTGGGGCCCTTTGCCCTGAATGCTGTGGGTGACCAGTTCTGTGTCAACTGCACTCACCTGTCCCAGCCCCAGCCAGCCAGCCAGCCACTTATCCATCCATCCATCCATCCATCCATCCATCCACCCACCCATCC